TAACAATGAATCTCTTTGTAAGCAGTCGAGGAGACTGAACCACTACCAAATACATTTAACCACCATTACAGAAAGTGTGAAGTACCTATTTTGGATAAAGGTTTGTGGGAACTCTGGATTATCATTGCTTTTTTTTTTGTACAAGCAGAGCTTACCAAAGGAGTTTCAGATAAAGGGATTTTCAGATTTCAGGGAACAGGTAGAGGACAAGTAAGTAAATAAACTAAATGCTCCTATTCAAGCAAGGAGCTTGATCCACCAAACTTGAGGGCTCATTTTCATGGCTTTAGTTCAAGTCCAACTCTGTAGTTAGTCACCAGTTTTTACTCTGTTTGCTCTTGTTGTACTGCCTGTTTGATCTTGCAGTGATGATACAGCACCAAATTTTGACCTTCACCTTCCCAAGCAAAAGTTGGTAGTAAGAGGATGCCCATAGCTAACCATCAGAGCTAAAAGCCTCCAGCAGTAGTGTCCTTTGTTTTCTCCTCTGTCTGTATGTATACACACATATACACAGAGTTCACATCTGTTAAATTCCCATTTCAAAGGATGTCTGTGATACATGCTTCAGCATTTAAAAATCTGCAGTGCAGCTTATTTTATGAACTCAAGGTTTCACACACAAGCTAGGAATGGATTGTGGTGGTGACCCCAAAGTGAATAACTCATTGGAGTCCTTGTGGGAGAAGGGCCAAAGGTTTAGTTTCCATTCACAAACCACTCACACCTTTGCACTGCCTGATATTAAGCAAACCAGCCTGCAAACAGTTAGTTATTTCATGGCCAGATGAGAGTCAGAGTAATACCCGAAAAGACTTCTGAACACTCAATAAGATAGTTTACAAAGTGCCTTAGACAAAAAAGAATTTAAAAAAACCAAGCAGCCAACCTCAATGGTATCACCTTGTTTAAAATTAACCTCAGAGCTGTGGTAACTACTTGGCTAGCACATACAATGGTCTAAACTCCCCCCACATCCCTTTCCCTGTACCCCCATCCCCAAAAAGAAGAAGAAAAGGAGAACTGAAAAGAAACTATTGTAGGTAGCAATACAAGACATTAGGACACTGTCCACAATGACAGGCTTACAGCATGTAATTACATTTATTCTATATGTAAGCAACAGAAATAGCAAGAAACTCAAGGAACAGACATGTTTTGCTCTGTGGGCATTGCAGACTCCAACATGTCTCCTGAGTGTCTGCATTTCTGCCAGCGAGAAAGAAAAAAGTCTTGGTCTCCCATGGAAGCAAATCTTGACTGGAGAGACCTCACTGCTGCAAAATTTTCAAGATTCAGTAAAACAGGATATAGGTCTTGCACTGTTTAGTGAGATACAGTGATCAAAAATTTTGGAAAAAAACCCCAACTGAACCCCAAACTTACCCTATACACCGAGAGTCACTTTTACAGGAACACAACACAAGAAGAACTGAAGAAAAAAAAAGTGAAAAGGACTGCCTCTGATGAGTGTTTCTTACTCAGAAATTAAAGGTTTTCTTTGAAGTCAGTAGATATTTTATATATATTTATATAATATATACTATTTATAGCACTAGCAATCAACATGTAATGAAGAGATGGTGTGAAGAGTAGTAAAACTGCTCCAATACAGAGCTAAAGGTGAACAACTAATAGGATAAGCATTTTAAAAATAGCAATAACTGAAGGATAAGAAGCCTGCAGCCTTTCTTTTTTTCTTTTAAAGCAGATGTGCTTACCTGACATAAAATATTACAACTTTTAAGACTTGGTCCTCTCTGCCAAACATCTTTGTCATTTTTCAGAGCCGTGGCTCCCCGTGATGGCAGTGGCATGTTGGAGCCAGGGCTCAGCCCCACGAGATGGCACTGTGTCCATGCAATCCAGGCGGAGGGACTGCTGCTGGGTGTTCTCCCATCAAAAATACTCTGAGCAGATCTCACCACCCTTGCTTCCCACCCTCCCTCTTTGGGGCAGCAGGATGGGGAAGCTGAGTGGTGAATACTACCAGCCCCTGACAGAGCCCTCTCCCACAACAATGCACCCTGACACTTCTGTCCCCCTAGAAAAAAAAAATAAAACCTGAGCAAAATTAATGCAGGGAAGTGTGAGGGTGAGATGGGAGTTGCTGTTAGTAGCACTGGCAAAGAATAAGTGCAGAGATGCTGGGACAAGTGGAGTAACCTGCCCCTGATTCTCCCTGTCCTGTCAGGGCTGGGGCAGCTGGCATGGTGCTGTGCTGGCACTCTGCAAGGCTTACTGAGCAGATGCTGGAGAAATCATCCAGCCTGTGATTGACACAGGTGACCACAAGGTTTCTGAGCAGTAGTGGTAGAAGAAGAGCAGCTGCACCTCCCAGCAACAGTGATGCTGCTGCCTTAGTCATGTTCAGTAATGAATGGTGGTGTTCTTGACCTCCAGACATCTCTGTGGATGCTTTTCTTAATCAGACCATGCCTTTTCCTCTCAATAAATCTCATTTCCACTGATGCTATGAAGGAAAAATGCCCCAGAATACTCTAAGAAAATTGTTCATCTGTTTTTCTCTCAGGAGGCATTGGAAGGTAGGTCAGGGAGCAGGCAAAAGGAGCATCAACTCATAGCAATAGAGAGAACTCCGAGACACTTCTGGCAAGGCCCAAGTGAGAAGGTTGCACACACTGCCCACATAGGAAAAGCTGAGCTGGGAGTACTATTGAGCCTCATCATCAGCCAAAACAGACTGAGCTGAAGAGGGGAAAGGGTCAAAGGATAGTTCACCTCATGCACCTGCCTTGGAAGCAGTCACACAGGAAGGATGCATGGGAAGGGTGAACAAGCACAAAATAATACAACTGGTTATACCTGAAGATGGCACAGGAGAGGGAAAAGCTGAGACCTATCTTTAAGAGCCCTTTTAGCACTCTGAGGTGAGTAAAAAGTGTAGAGAAAGGGCAGAGATGGAAGCTTCCCCAGTCAGAGCCTCATGAAGTTGAAGATTTCCATTAGCATTGCAATGGGCTGCATCAGATGCCCAAGGTGAAAAAGAGAATGGTTGGTTGTTGATAGGATGCCCATGGCACCTCGACCTTAAAAAGCACACAGGCAGGCAGAAAGCACACAGAAGTGAAAGTTACAATGTATGCCCTCTGGTCTCCAGTTTTGACTGAAATGTTGGTTTGCAAACTGCTGTGTTACCTCTTACAAGGAAGGAAACTTTGTGCTCACTGCCTGGCGGTGAATGAAAACCCCACTGGTTTTGACTGACCTTACTTACTGGTCAGGGAGCTGAGAAATTCTAAACAAAAAGTGCCAAGCGTATCGAAATGTCAAATGCTAAAAAAGGTCAGCTGAAATTTTCATTTTGACTAATGACATTTTCAAAGTTACCTTCAAAGGTGCAATCTGGAAAGCCTTGGGGAAAACAAAACCAAAACCACAAAAGAGAGCAAGCCAACTCCCATCTTGGAAAGCATATGGAGTGGGAATATGTACTTGGTCAGGGACATGCATGTGTACGCAACAGCAGTAAGCAGGGCCTGGCTGGAAACCTGGAGCAGACAGGCTGGGGAAAAAAGACTTTTTACACCAGAAGCAGAGGACAGACAAGTCTGGCAGTAAAACTACTGCAATCCTATGTGCTGTCATGTACCAAAGAGTCAGTCTTTTCACTGATCAGAACATAAAATACATTTGCAGTGACAACCAAAAAAGCAACAGTTTGCTCCTTCTGCGAAGTTCCCAGTTCACCTGTTTGTGGTGGCCAAGAAGGACATGGCTGTAAAGGGACACATGTCCCCTGGTCAGCCCGTGAGGACGAGCACTGCCCTGCCTAGGCAGCAGGGGTGATGGGAGCCCAATGAAGGCAGAAAACTGCAGTACAGGGGATTTCAACTTCACCACTCCATTGCCCTGTGCTGGCCCATGTGACACAGGCTTCCCTGGCTGCAGCAAAGCCTGGGAGTATTGGGGCAATCTGCCAAGTGCATCTCACATAGAAATGACCCAGCAGAGTGCTGGACTATCAGTAGCCCTGACCATGGTGAACATTATTGGAAGTGGTGGGTTTCAGTGAGTACCTGCAGCTCTGTGGGGACCTTAACAGGAGCTGCTGGTTCTCTGACAGCTACAAAACAAAGCAAACAATATGGAGAGCTGCCTTGGATGCACAGATCAGGTGGCCAGTGTCAGTCCCTCCACATGCTTGCAGCTGTGGTCATGAACCAGTGGCCTATGTGTATTTGGACCAGGCTGTCCCTGGTTCTTGGAACAACCTGGAAGCACCAGGGTGGTGCAAAACATACTAAGAAGGGGTGCTGGGTTGGATACTTGGTGGGTTCAGATCAGCAACTTCAGCAGAGTGTCACCAGTTTATACCACCTTTGCATCAGGCATGAAGCACAGCAATGCTAACACGAGATGGGCAACCTGTGTGGACTGCAAAGGACTTTGGAGAAGGACTACAATGGCTAACAAAGTCAAGGACAGACGGCGTAAGTGGGACAGGTCTTAGAAGGCCTTCAGGAAGGGGACAACAAGTTCCATAAAACCAGAAATGATTCATTCTGCTGCTGACAAAATTAGAAATCAAGTAATAATGGTGATAATAACAGTCATTATAATCCTTGAACTAGATACTAATTAGTAATAATTATCATAGCAACTTCTCTTTTTCATTTTCTTCTGGGTTTCTTTCCCTCCCCTCCCCCCCCGGATTGGATATCCAGCCCCCTCATATAGCAAAGGGATGGAAAGGGTGTGAATTGAAAATTAACTCAGATACTGCATTCCCCACTGACCTACAGCTCTTCTCCACACAAGCTCAGTGGGACTGCCTAGGGGAAGGAAGGGAACGTTATGTGTGTTCCTGCTTATCAGCCAGAGTACCTGCTTTCCAGATGCACACCTCTCAAACCCTGATTTTCTTGGGTTTTTTTGGGTTTTTTTCACAAGTAGGTCTAGGAAACAGAACAATGACAGGAAGATCATTGTGAGACAACCAATGTGCAGAATGGTTGCCAAAGTCTGAATTCACCAGAAACCAATAAGCTGAAATAGCCACAACCAACTGTCCATAGCCTTGTCTAGAATGGCTTTAAACAAAAAACATAAAAAGCCATGGACAGTCTCCTTACCCCTGTCCAGAATTTGATGTAAACAACATCCATAGAAACTGGGATTGTTAAGAAAGTTTATCCATATATCTGGATAGCAATAAAAGCGTTTCCTAGGAAACTGTAAAATCCTGTACCAAGCAGTGTACAGCCAAGCCGAGAGGAACATTAAGGTGATTTATATTTTCAAGGTACAACTTTGCATGATTTCTTTTTGATCCTGTGATAATGTACAAGGAGAGCATGTGTGAAGGTCAGGGCTGTTTCTTTTTGTTTGTTTGTTTGCTTGCTTTCTTCTCTGAAATGTCTCTTGTGTAACTCATTGGTCTGGGTTTTCATTTCAATTCTTGTTTGCAATAACAGGGCATTACCACTCCCTGCGTCTGTCCTTCCTGTTCACGCCAAGGCTGGATTAGTAATTTCCTTCTGCTGCCAAAGAAACAACTGTTTCATGTCTTCCCATTTCTTCAAGAACCGCTGCCAGCATGCTCAGGTTGCCATCAGGGAAATTCTGGGCTTCCCAGAGATCTAGGATCACCCCAGTGGGACTTGATTTCGTAGCAAAATAATTTAGGTACCTGCAATGAGCCAAAAGGAAACTTGTTTTTTTTTGAGCTGCGTGAAAACTACCCGAATTAATATGATTTCATCCCATCCCTGTTGCTGGTGCTATCATCCCCTGTGCAGTCAGTCTGACCAGTCTGTACATCTTCTTTCACTCACCTCAGCAGGACTTTCACCAGGACCCTTTTGCACATATCTCCTTGGGAGCTTCACTGCCCAACCACACACAGGCAACCCTGCTCACCTGTCCAGTTTCAGCTTGTGGGCCAGCATCCGCCAGTCATGGCCTCTGGTCTGAGGTGCATCCAGGCTGCTGCACAGCTTCTGCCTTATTGGCAGGGGGATGCTGAAAGCACTCGGCCCTACTATGGTGGTGACGGTGCCCGCCGAGTCCACGGGGGGATAATCAATGCCAGTAGGTTCCTGAGATTGAAAAGACAGAAAAAAATTCCAAACAATCCATCAGTTTTGTTACTGAGTGCAGGTACAATTGCAGAACTGTATCCTCTGAGACTCAGTGCTTTTATTTGCAGCCCTCTGCTAATCAAGTGTTTATGTTAGTCAGCTGGAAAAGAGAAATATTTATAATCAACTTTGGGTAGACAAAAGATGCTATGGTTTTTTTCTCCTGTTTTTGGAGGGTGAAGATTACTATATCTGGACAAAGCTGAGCCCAGTTTAATTAATCACTTACTGGAAATAAGGAAAGATCAGGCACTTTGACACATTTCAGAGCCAATTGCTACTACTAGAGAAGAATGGGGCTTTCCCAGCAAGGCTGACCAGACCCACTTCCCAGCATCCCTCCAAGCCCCCAGACCTCACCGAGCCAGCACTGGGCTCACACCACTGACATCCCTCTGCCAGTGCCCATGCTCTCTGAAGCTTCTGATGCTGTGCAGACCACAGATAGACAGTTAATACTGCCCCAGGCACAAGCTGATCCCTCATTTTTATGCAGCCTTAACTCTGTGCTGGAAATGGAGCACATGTGCTCAGGGGGGCAACTGTTGTCCTCCCCCCAAGACCAGCGCTGTGCTCTAAGGCAGTGTGGCAGCAAGTGTTTCAAGAGAAGAGTCACCTCCAAAGCCAGCTCATCCCCTGCAGGTATGGTAGCTGATAGGACAATGGTAACTGCTCAGTTTGGATGGCTGGATTTGTTTAGGAAGAGCCAGGTCCTGCAGGGTGGCTGAAAGCCCCACCAAACCTCACTGATGTTGACTGGCTGCCTGACTGTGCAGTGAGGATGCTGCTCCTCATGTGTAGCACCTCCAGCTACCAAAGCCCATGATGGAAAAAGCAGCAAGCATGGCTGGTTCTGCCTTCATGCTTCTCAATCTATTTCTCAACTTGGTCTCCTTTTCTGGCAGAAATGGGGGAACTGCTCTGCCTTCTCCTCAGCCAGACCACAGCCCCAGGCAGCCAGAAACACCCATGCTAAAGACTTGACACTAAATGTCCATTTGTTTTCTCCTCTGTGTTGTCTTGTTGCTTCATGTCAAACTGGCTGTTGGGAAGGCCCTGTAATACCTGAAACTGTTGTAAAACCAGGTAACTCCTGTCTTAAGCTGCCATCACAAACTCCCCAGAGAGTTTGTTGGAGGTTGTGTATTCAAAGATGGAAAGGGCAGAGCCAGTGTCCATGAGAAATGAGCAGAATTAAACCTTTTGCCTCCACTCTTCTATCAATTAATTCTTTTCCACTCTCTAAGTATGATTTTCTACATTGTTTTGTTTTGTAGAAATGACATTTTAGGCAACCAGTGAAATTTCTAACCAAAGAAGGTTTAAGCCACAATGCAATGTCCTCAGTTAACATGTCGAATGTGGCATCTGTACTTGGGTGCCAAGGGCCTGCATTGCAGATAGTCTGTCCCAACCCCACTGCTTCAAGCAACAAGTTACTGCCCAACTGCCTGGCAGTGGGGGCTGCCCAGGAGTGGGCAAAATGACTTGCCTGACATTGCTTCTGCCTGCAGGCTCACCTGCACTGGAGGCAGCAGAAGGGTGGCGAGTGGTGGCATCACAGACAGATAACCTTTTCTTTTTGTTCTGGGCCAAAGGACATCAGAGCTGTCCTGGCTTTCAAAGTGGCCCCAGGTGCTTCAGGATTCCTGCAGAAGGAGCCCAGGTATCTGTGGCAGTGCCCTGTGGCTTTTTTGGGTGAGTATCAACATTGTGAGATAATAAGAGGACTTCAAAAACAAATGGTGGGAGACCTTTATTGCACTCTTCCTCCTGCCTTGCAAATGTGCGTGTTTTGGCACTCATGGCATTTATATTTTTGAAGTCCCAGTGATAGGCACTGTACAAAGCCAGTTGAAAACAGTTTAATCTGCAAAAGTTTAACATCCTTTGCAGGGGACTAAAAAGAAAGCCCATAAAGGGAAACTCTCTTACTATGTTTTTACCACAAGGTGACAGACACAGAGGGGCAGATCCAGTAACTAAAAAAGATGCCAGTACAGTCCTGCAATATCAAACCACTAGTTGTATACCACTAGCCTAACCTCTGAAAATCTGAGGAACCACAGCTAAGGTTTCCTGATGCCTGCTTCTAGAGGCATACACATTGGTTTCCAAGTTGCAGTTACTACACTTCCAGGTGTCTTATTTTTTTCTAGTTGACTCTGCAGTCCCGCTCTCAGCATCCCCAGGTCCTCCTGCCCCTTGCTGAGGCTTGGTAGCATCATGAGGTGTCAACCACAAGGAGCAATTTTGCAGGAGGCAGTCTTGATAACAGTGGTATTATTCATTCCCTCTGTTCATGCTTGATGGATATGATCGCAGAACAAGACAAGAATATTATCCCATTCCCTCTGAATCTATTACCAGGCCCTATTACACAGAAGCAGCTGAAGATGATTATAGTGTACACTTGCATTTCATTAAAGTTACTTTCAGTTCTTTCTCTTATCTGTGAGGTTAAATTAGTGATTACCTCAGTGCAGCACTTATTACAATAATTGTTTATGATGCTTGTTTTACCATCTGTCCTTAATGCTGTGTAGTCCCCAGATGAATCTGTAACTTTACACCCACTAGCCAAGCAGATGTTATGGGTAATTGTGCACACTGTCAGGGCCCTACAGTACAAGTAACTTTTGTCTCTTGTCTAGCAGCCCTTCTCCATGTCAGCCAGCAGTAATTGCTGCCCAAGAGTCTATTCCTCGAGGTGCCAAGGGTAACAGGCATAAAACCCACCAAGCACACTCACTGAAGACAACGGCATTTCACACCTGAAAGTGTCGCTTGGTCTCATCCCCAAGCTTGACTGCCCCAAGGAACAAAAAATCTCCAGGTGCTACATAGCATCTGGAACTTAGGATAATGTTTCTACTGACAAACAGCATTCATCAAAATAAAATTGTCAAAGATAATAGTAAGGATTTGTAGCAGTAGCAAAATACGAGGAAAAAAGTCCAGACCATCTGATACTCCCTATTGCACAGCAGCTATTATGTGGATCAGAGGGGAGTGACCCACGAAACTTATGGCAACAACATTTTCCTATTCTCTCTTTTCCCTCTCCAGGGAAATGTCAGGCGTTATGGGTCTTGTGGACTGGCAGGAAAAAAGGACCACACAGTGCTTCATGGAATGCTTTGGGGAGTGGTAGGCAAAAAGCTCCTCCACACAGACACAGAAAAGCAGCACTAGCAGGGAGACCAAAGTTGCCTGCCTTCCAGATGAGAGAAAACAATGGAAAATGCAACAGGAGATACAAAGCAATGACTTAATCCATTCCTTACGTCCATCTCAGAAGTCAGGAGGAAAATAGGAAGCACTAAACAGGTAGCAATGGGAAAGGTTATACCTTCTTAGCCCTCTCACATTCCTGCAGTTGGATAGAAGAGTGCATCAATTTATTTACCTCTGAAACAGAGCAGTTAAGCTGGAAGATCTGTCCTTCTCCTTCGACCTGCCGCACACAGAGTTTGCACACCAGCTCCAGGGTATTCAGACTGAACCTTTCCAATGTGAAGGTGCAATGCAGGTTCCTCTGACATCCACTCCAGATGTGGTAAAAGGGAATCTCCTGCAGGAGGAAAGGAAAAAATTATAGTGAGGGAGGGATGTGGGACCAAGGCATAGATGTTAATAGGACAAGAGCCTGTGGGCTCTATATGGTGACTGCAAATGGTCCAGGGAAAAAAATGTCCATGTGGGACTATAGCCTGGCACCTGGTGTTTTTTTAAACACACCTGTGTGTGACAGTATTTCTGTAAGTCTCATGGCTAGGATTCAATGTCAATGTTTTGTGATAATCACCTGGTATTTAGCCAGCAGTTTGCTCTTCCACAGAGAGTGGGTAATGTCATGAATGGACAGGCGGAGGTTGTGGGTGCTTCCCTTAAAATGCAAAGCTTTGGGCTCCTCCAAAAGCTGTCCACCCATCTGCCGCTCGAGCTGGAGCACTTCCTGCAGTATTGTAAGAAAAAGAATAAAGTGGTCAGGTTGCATCAAGGCGACACATCAGTCTTCTGAGTCCTCAAGGTCATCTGCTGTAGATGCTGTATCTTCTAATACAGATTGAAAAATACACAGGCACTGCAGAGAACTGTGTTTCCCTGTGAACTGGAACTGCATTAGTGGATCTGAATATAACCCACTCACCTCTTTCATACAGCAGCTGCCCAGCAGGGATGCAGGCATCTCTCCTTTGGGAGATGCAGTACTATCTTGCATGTCCTATAAGCAGGAGCTTAATTGCATGCTATTGTATGGAATGCAGACTTTGCATACAGCCACTGAATACAGAAATAGATCAATCTTCTCCACTGCTTGTCAACTGAACATCTAATGGTAGATTCACTATTTTGTTTTTGGCAACTCTTATTTGTGCAGGTCCTGCTGATATGGGACCTGTGCAGATGGCTGGTCCTTCAGTTTGTGGCCTCCTGGCAAGGTGCTCTATGACAGAGTGGTGTAGGCAATAACATATGCCTATCCTGAGACTGTCAATGGGAGGGTATGGAAACAATGCAAGGCACTGTGATGGAACATTTTGTACATATGAATACATAGGTTCAGGGTTACTAAAATAGTGATCATGTAATTAAAAGCTAGTAAGCCAAGAGTCTAGTTATTTTCTGAAGCTAAAAATAAATGTAAGTCTGTAATTAATAAGACCACAGTGGAACATTGCCTGCAAACAGCCTGTTAGACCACATGGAAGAAGCAAGTACAAAGGCACTTTCATGAGCCCCATTAGAAACTGACACAGCCAATCTCTGTCATATTTAATTAAAAGAGCCATCCAATGAACCAGTCTCATGGGGCCAAAAACAACCACACACAGAGTGAGCACGCTCAAGGAGTACACAGGCTCACAAACCCAGGATACTACTCCAGGCCAACTAAAGAAGCCTCCATTTTAGCTAAACTACTCCTGACCACATTCAGGGATCTAGTTAGCACATAAGAAAAGCCCCAGTACTAGCATCTGGGAGATCCTGAGGCTAAAATTATGTTCTTCTATTGGCCGTTAGAGGAAAAGAAACAAAATCAGGAAATATTTCAGGTTAAGATTATGCCAGTGAATGAGTTTCAGCTTCTTTCCAGTGCCACCTAATTACTTTGTCAAGATGTCTAACAAGCAATCGATAGTAATTATCTGATTACTATAGATCTTCATTATGTCCAGACTACCTCCCTTGAAGGGCCAAAAGACAACTCATGGCACTGCATGAGCTAATTGCAGGTGTGACCTCTCAGGCATGCGGGGTGAGAACGCCAAGAAACCACTCCTGCCTATGCTGTGTCATCTCTGGGAGCTGTACTACTGTGGGAAAAACAGTGTGGCATAATGCTGCACCATCCCACTCACCAGATCTGGGCATCTAGCTTCAATATCCCAATTTTGGTTACCACCCTTGGGCACCATAGCCCTTCCATGTGCTCTAACCGGAGGACACTGAGCGCCCATGCTTCTCCCATGCCACTTAGCTAATTAATCCAGAATTAGTTTGCAGACATGATTTGCACAGCCCTTCAAACCTGCAGGCTGGTTCCTGCCATACAACATTTTATTTAGAGCTGGCTGGCACCTCTATGTCCTCCTGAGCCAAAACCTGAGCCGCACGTTGCCTTCCCCATGCTGAGGTGGCTGTGGCCGCCCTCCACTTTGCCCCTCACCACCCCGTGAGGGTGGACTTATGCCTTTACATCCTTCCTAGGAGAGGGTGCTGTCTAGGGCATCACTCCATCATCAGTGTCACCAGAGCAGCCACAACCTGGGCCTCCTCATTAATGGGGCACAGGCAAGCAACGGTGTTCGGTCTAAATTGTTGCCTTTCTTCAATAAAAGGAAAAATACACATTAAATAACAGAGAGAATATCATATGCCCGTTGTGCCTGTATTTTGGGGTTTATTTGAAGACAATTACTCTGCAGCATGAGGTGGGTCAAGGGATGCCACCCTGCTACAGCCTGAAGTCATTTGCTCACCCCCAGTGTGGGAGGCAACTGTTTCCATGTGCTGCCTGCTCAGCTCCTGCCACGCTGCCACACACAGGTCACACACCTCAGTCTCAAAGCTACATGGAAATAAACAGAATAAAGCAGCTGAGATTCTTTATAGTTATTATTTCTTTTCTTTTTTTTTTTTTTTTTTGTTTTTTTTGCACAGCAGACTAGCTTGGGCATCTCCATCAACGTGCAAAAAATCAGCCTTAAAAAAAGAGGCCAGTGTTTGAGATCACAGCTACCCTCACCCTTGCCCAAAAAGCATTTTTGTGAGCATCCCATGCAGGTGCCTTGGGACCCTGTGGGGCAGAGGATGCTGCATGTGTGATCAGTACGGAGCCCATGCTGCTCCACAGCCCTCAGGAACATTGCTAAGCTGCTCACACAATAACCAAGCCCTTATTGATGACAAGTCATTACGTTTCCCTACTGTACTGCGGGTGCTGGCATTTCAGCAGCCAGTGCTTACTCTGCATGATGAGAGGGAAAAGCCTGCTGGATAAACACTGCACTGTGTTTTATACTGAAACTACTTGTCTTCCTTTGGTGGCTGTTAGGACACATTGAGCATATGGCACACTCATTCCTAGTTGTAAATAATAACAGAACGCATTTGGTTGCCTACTAAAATACACATAATTCCTTATAAAGGCTCTTCCAAACCTCAGACATTGCAATGTGGGAATATCTCATGCTGCTCTTCCCTCCCCTTGCCATGCCTTGCCCAGAGCAGCCAGCCTCAAGACACTGAGACGTTGCAGCTGGTGCCTCACCTGCTGTCTACAACTTTTTCTCTCCTTCCAAGATACTTTTAACCTCAAATCTGCCAGCCCAGCCCGGTCTGCACGCCTTGTCCCACACACCCAGTGGTTACTGCCGGGTGAATGCCTTCCCTTTGGCAATAGAGCAGTGCCAAGGACATTCTCCCAGCACAGCTGGGGCTTCTGCAGTACCAGCTGCTGTAGAAGCATGTGGCAAACACCCCAACCTTTTTTTTTCTTTCTAAATAGTCATAATTTGAATCTACACAACACTGTCACACAGGGATGGTTAGTACACACTGGTTTGTACACATCAGTTCATAAGCACCGGTTTATACACACCAGTCCAGACTCAACCCTTCCATTTACATCTATTTTACTCATCTACAAGTAGTTTACCAGATTCCTTTTTCTTAAACCTTCTCCTTCCCCAGACCTTTCATTTCCAAAGAAGCACAATAGATATAAGAGTCTGTGGCAATCAAGTACATGTGCTTGTCCTCCTGCTGGGTCTTGAACCCTATCAGTGACTTTCCAGTCTTGGGGTAGACGCACCCAAAAAATAAATAAAAATACATAAACACCGTAAAAAAGCAGTAGGTATGAGTGAGATGGTGGTCTTCTTACTTTGCTCACCTTTCCTCACCTATTTACAAGCTTGCTTTGAGGTCTACCTGCAGCAGAAGCCCAAGGACTGACTTTCTGCCCTCCCAGACACTGGCTGCAGACTTTTAGGTGAATGACGGTCCCTCTTTGTGGCTCTGTGCCTCTCCTCATCCCTTCTGCTGTCGCACTGAATTGGATTAACTTTACCTCTCAACTCTCCCTACAGTCTATTAGAAACAGACCAACAGCTCTTAAGTAACATCTAATTAGATTCTTCAGCTCTGACCACATTAGCTGTCTGTCCAAACCCCTCCGACTTACTTATTATTACCTCAGGCCTTGTCGAACCCACGGAAAATTGTATTATCCTGTACAGATGTAAAAATGTCAGGACTTTTGAAGCTTGATTGCTATAAAAGATCATTTTCACTCTTTTTAAAGATGAAAACCAAAAGCAAAATCAGACCAGGGAAAATAATTTTTTCTAAAAGGCCAGTAACACCAGTGCAGTGATGGAGGCCAAGTTCCCAGGCCCTGTACAGGCAAAATCATGCTGAAGTTATGATGTGCCTGCTTTCAACCCTTATATTTTGTTGCCTTTCTTACATACAGTGAAAGAGTATCTTCCCAGCAAAGCCTAGGCAGGCAAGCCTTGATATCAGATAGTACTGGGGAGGAAAACGGCGTGCGCCATTCGCAATGATGGAAGTCACTGCTTTGAAAAACACAAACATCTCCCAGCTAATGTGTGGTTTGGGTTTAAATCCCAATGATTTCCATGCAGAGCTGAGGAAACAAAAGCATATACAGCATCAGGATGACTCTGATTAGTCAGGCTTTGAACTCATTTTTCTGCAAAGAGGCATCTGGGAAGTTGCCTTGGCTACAATTAAAGGTACAAACCCCACCTTTTAATAAACTCCATTCTTGCATGTGCAGTTGTAGCTGCATATTTCATGAGTGCATCTATTATAGATACCATCTGTATAAATACAGGTATTTATAAAGAGAAATAGCAAGTGTGGTCATTTATCTGCTCATCTGTCTGTAGTGAGTGTGTGTTTGTGTGCATGCCAGAAATACGCTGGGAGAGTAAGGTTATATAGTTAGGGATACCAACAGCTTTGGTTTATTTCAGTTGTGAATTCCCAACACAAAAAGCTGCACGTGAAGAGGTGTAATAAAGCAGCATGAAAGCAGGCAGTGATTAACGGGCCAGAAGCTTCTTTTATCATTATCAACTATTTACAAAGAAGCATTTATATGTTTCCCCATCTCTGGGGAGCTGGCACTTAGCATTAAAAATACATGAATAACGAATGAAGCCCTGTGTACCTTATGGCCTTTCAATAATGCAAAAACCTTAGGATTGAGGATATGATACAGGTAAACAAAGGAAAAAAGACTGGTGGGTGGAAAATTGTGTGAGATCCCTATGCAAAGGACAATTTCTAGCGTGTGGGGGTTAAACTGTAAAACAGCAGCTTGCTGTCAAGCTCTTCTAGTCAGAAAAATAACCCAGGGAGCATGACTACATGAAGCAGTGGGTCTAGTCACAGCTATGACTGCAGTCCTGTTACAGTTGGAGAGGGAGAGGGAAAGTGAGTAAGAGATCATCAACCACCTTAAGGGCATCCTGTGTGTCATCGAGGCAGTAGACCCGGATGCTGTACTCCAGTGAAGAGCAAGACAGCGGTCCAAAAATGGCCAGTTTGAGACGTTTGGCTGCTGCTTTTGTGACTGACTGTCCCACCAAGGCATACGTGCTGAGGGTTTCTGTCAGGATATGGCAGGCTTCTGGGTCCAGCTGGATATAGCATGGAGTGGTGAAGTTTTCCTCCCCAACCACCACCACATCCTAAGGGAGAAAAAGGCCAAGTTAGAGCATTCAGTCCCTCAGAGCTGCTTTGCTTTGAGGCACAATGCCCCTTTCAAGCCTAGATGATGCAAAAATTTCTTGCTGTTTGCACTTTAGATGAATCAAGACGTAAAATTCCTGCTTCCAGCTTTTCTCCTGTGTAGGCATGGGAAGGAGACAACTTCTTTGGGGTGCCAGTGGCAATGTTGGTGGTAGAAAACTCCTCCTCTCCTCACTCCCCTAAGATCTGGAACACTTTCTTTTGGGCCCTGCATCAGCTTTTAAAGCCCCGGGTAGAGTTAGGGAAGTAATGAAAATATCACCAAGATACTGGTGATTTTATTGAAAAAGGTATTGCAGAACTAATAATTTGGTGACCATGATTTGACATCAGTAGTCTCAGGCGTGCTGAATAAATAGCTTCCCTTCAATTCTTAAGCATGACAATAAGGAGTTATAAAAACTCAAGGAAGGGAAGTAGCATCTACGATAGCCAAATGCCATAGCTACATGAAATATCACCTGCTGTTTCTTCAGAATAATCCTCCATGATGAGACTGCATGGTGAAGGAAAAAAAAAACATACAGCCTGAATGTGGATGTCCTCTCCACCCTGGGCATAGAGGAAAACAGCTACTCTGCTCATTTCTCCATTCAGCCCTGCATGTAATATCCTGCATGCAACACAAGGTGCTTTAAATGTCTTTGAGAGAGCAGAAGCAAAACAGCAGCAGCAGATGATGGTTGCCTCTTTCAAAGCTACCACATGCCACGTGATACTCAGCACAACTTGTCCACTTCATCCCCACTGCCTGCAGGTCTCCAGCACAACATACACATCTGACAGCTGAGCAGTGGGGGCTCAATTGCCATTTGGCATTAAACTCAGGTCCTCTAGTCTCAGGAAAGGCAGACCTACCATATTTGCAGGGGTAGGACAATCTTTTTGGAGGGCAAGGTGCTGCAGTGCTGACTGCACCTCCCCCATGGCTGCAAGCCCCAAGTGATGCTGCAGGGGTGTGCAAGAATGTGTGCACACATGTGTCTATGTGTGTGTGAGACTCAGCTTGGGGTAGCTGCTTCAGAATTGAGTGGAGGAAGGAGATCACCTAATGATGGTCAGGGACCCTGTGGATGCTGTGGATGCTGCGCTGGCACCAGAGTGTGTGCATGGCTGGCAGAGCAACCTCTCTGTCAAGGGCAGGAGAAGGACAGGGGAGAAAATGAAGAGGTGCCAGTAACACACAGACATGAATAAGGAACATATGTGCAGTGCCAAGAGTCAGGCTGGTGGGGTGCAGATTAGTTGGCGAGACATACCTGTGTTTGCTGTACACTCCCTCCAAGCATGAGTAAAAGGCAGTGCCACAGGCAGGGGGACAAATGCAAGAGGCTTTGGAAGGCAATGCTGGACATGGCACTTCTGCTGCTGTCAGCCCAACTGCCTTCAAAAGCTACCCCGATCTTATGAAACCTACTGATAGGAGAAAGTGCCCTTGCCAAATTAATTATGAGACCAAATGGTGGCAGCAGGTACCTAGGAGCATGGGGCTGGAGAGGAGGGTTCTGTCTGGATGGCCCAGCCTTGCTGAAAGCATCACTTTATGCTCCAGTTACAGTGGGAAGATCCTTTCACCCTGCCCTGGTACATTCTCCTGCTTTACTTCTGGCAAGGAACCACCTAAGGCTCCCACCAAGCCTGCACTGCACAACAATGCTTGTGCTGCTCCCCTGAGTTTGCAGGCTGCAGAGTTCAATTCTGCCTGCATGGATGGAATCAAATTGATGTTCCACCAACATCTTAGGAGGGAAAATAAAAGAAAGCTGAGGCCTTTATATTTTATTAAGCTGGATGATGTCTTGTTGTTGAAGCAGGAGATAATTTGCAACCTTATTTTTACTATCTCGAAAACAGACTAAAAACCATGAGAGACAAAACTATTCTGTTAAAAAATTTCTTATTTCTAGAGTCAAGACAGAATTTATTTTCAGACACTGTTTTTATTTTGCCTTTTCCTTCTGACCCTATGACTTTGGCACAATATCCTGCCACAACCAACAGCTGTGATGAAGACTATTTCATGGAAAACAGCTAGAATTAGGAGGTGCCAAAATGTCCCAAGATAGCATCTCTGCATGTGGGCACTGAGCAGCTTAGACTCCTAGTGCTGAGGGCACTGCTACCTGCCTGTAGCAGCCATGGAAAAATGGAAAATCCCAAATACAAGCATGCTGATTTGGAAAGGCAAGAGAAGGACCAGCAGAGAGATCTGTATGCAGCCAGCACACAGGCTGGAGTTCCAGAGTCTCACCTCCCAGGGTCCCTGAGCAGCCTGGTGTTTCAGCTGGATCTGCCAGTCCTCTGTGTTTGGTTCTGCACAGTGGTGCATGGTTAAAATGATGGGCCGGGTAAGCAGGGCTCCTGGGGGACCACAGCTCACCACCGGTGTCAGCAGGGTTTGGCTGTCCTCTACAGGTGGCCTGAGGAGGAGACAGAAAGATGGATACATTAAGTGAGTTGAAAAAGACAAAAAGTTTCATTCAGAATCATAAAGAATCCTTCTAAAAAATCCTTCTCAAAATCAAAATATCGTGCAGGCAAAGAATGGGTGGATTTGGTTTTTCCAGTCTTTTTGTTTTGTTTGTTTGTTTGCTTGTTTGTTGTTGTGGGGGATTTTCTGAATGCCAAATATCATTCATTTGTCAAAATTCAGGTTTACGTGTCAGCAAATTATAGATCACACTTGCTGAGCACCCTCCAGTCTGAAGGATCCTTGCAGACAGCATGCTGAGGCTTCAGTTCACTCATTGACAAAATGTGATCAGTGCTGCATTTGGCAGTTGGTCAGCCACACAAAAATGGACAGTGGCTATTGCAAGCACCACGTGTGAGAATTATTTACAGTCAGGACAGAGAAAACAGAAGACCAGAGAAGGACAATGACCTAAGAGGTGCATCTGAGACCTGCTTAGTGGTATACAGCACATCTGAGATGTGCACTTTGAGTTCTGAGTCATCACCACACCCACTGATACTTCACTTTACTTAAAAGGCATTCAGATCTACTACAATGGTATTGCAAATATACCTGCAGGGAGGAGGTGTCACTGGCGGTGGGGGAGAAAGGACGAAGGGATGGTAAGGAATAGTGCAGAGGGCAAAACCCACTCTCCAAGCCCAAGATTCCTAGTGATTACCCAGAGCTGTTCAATTGAAAACACAGGGATTGCCCAGTGCACTTCCTGCCAGTCACTAGGAATGGGTGTTAGGAGGAATCATATGAATATTTTAGAATACACTGTGGTTTGTAAATGATAGAGTGTGTGTGTGTGCACATGCATGAATGTACAAACCATCCCCCACCAACTGCTGAGGAGCTTAAAAACAGAGGAAGCATGAGTGACTTTAACTATCCCGACATCTGGTGTATGACAAATACAGCTCAAAGTGCCTCATCAACTGCCTCCCTAAATAACAGAGGACGAATTCATGATCCAGAAAGCAGCAAGCAGGAGATTAAAGGCATTCAGTGTGATCTGCACTTAAACTCCAGATCTGCCCACAGGACCTCAGAACCTCTGCTCTAGCTAAGGGTTCAATCCCTTGATGTGTTTACAAATACAAATACATCTGTATTTGTCTTAGTGAAATTAATTGAGACAACATTACTGTTTATGTCTGCAAGTTTTTGCCTTTACCAGACGAAAGACCATAAAAAGTGGTTGTAATCTTCAATAACGTTTTCAAGGAGGTCAGATCAGGACAGGAGCTATTTTGATACCCAATTTATTGCACTTGTTCCAGCTATTGCAAATATATGTCCAAAGGCATGTCCTAATTTTACCCACTTGAATTTTCCCTGCATATTCCATTAATCTCAGAAAACGAAAGACAAGCTTTCGAGAAATTCACTTTGAAAATGGGATAAAGGCACTTTTGAAAAGTATCGCTTGTTGCTACAAATGGTGGGGACGTTTTTATAACATTTGAAAGGAAAAAAATAGAGTCTGGCATGGAAAAATTGAAATCTATGCAAATCAGTAAATCCAGATGATATGCATCTGTGGAAATTAACTGGTGAGTTTACTAAATGACTTAACAATTGTTTCTGAAAATCCACGGACTGAAAACAAACAGCTGTGATATAGCTGCCTTTCAAAAAAGATGTAAAGCTTAACAATCTGGGCAGCTCTCATCTATTATGCCAGCTAGTTTAGCCTGACAAACAGTACACAATAGAAATGAAACACGAGCAGACAGAGTACCTAGTCTGACTTCTCTTGCATACTATAGGGAATCTCTGGATCCAGATTAAGAAGATGAGATATCACTCTCTTGCAAGACTGGAATGAATAAATCATTGGACAGTTTTTCACTTAAACATTCCTTCTTTTTCCAACTCATTTACTTTGTTTTAGGCTTTGTTTTTGTTTCTTTTGTTTTGTTTTTATAAGAAGCAACAAGAAGCCTAAAAAACACTCAGTGTGGTAGTGGTTTTTAATGGTCATCTGTCTTGTGCATAAGTGGATATTTGAACACTCTCCTACAGTCCAATTCAATAAACTTCAAAAAACATCCTGTCTTATGAGAAAGATCTCACAAAATTACAATATTTGTCTGCAAAGCTACAGATATGACCAGCTATAGACTTAGTCATCTGGTTAAGCTAACTTCATCTAAAAGTACTGACCCATAAAGAAGGAAGGAAAAAAACCCTACAAGTAACCATAGCTTTTTTGGACTGAATTACAAAACCAGCAGTCAAAAAGAATATAAGAGTGAATCTATCATTATTGACATAAAAATATTAATGCAATGCCTTTTAGGTGAAAAATGAGTTAAAATTGACAAGCATGTATGTTGTTAAAAAACCCCTAAAAGGTCACTACAAATAATATGGCACTGATAAATCATACAGTCTAAAGTTGTCTCCAAGCAAAGTAAAGTTTAATGTGGCAAAATTCTGTCAACTGTCAAATGTTAGGACTCTGATGAAGGACAGGATTAGCACAAGTTTAAAAAAATTATGCAGAACACCAAGACAGAATGTGTTGCAGATTTCACAGTGAGCAGCTGAGATGGAAAGTGAATATAAGTCTATGCTAAACCTCTCACTGACTACTGTGAAGGCAGGATTTCTACTCACAATATGGAAAATGATGCAAATAGCAACACAACTATTTAATTTCCAGATAACAATTAATAAGGAATCATTGCAAGTAACAGTGAGAGCCAAAAACAATGCAAAAGTTCCAGAGAGGGAAAAATTATGAGTAGGAATGAAATCCTATTAATTGTACAGTAGCTCATACTGAAGCAAAGCAATTTCCAGTTATTTAGTAGCAAAGAAAGCAATAAAAGTGAACAAGACTTCAGGTGAGCTTGCTGCAACACAGCAGGTGCCAACTTGTAATGTGGCAAAAAGCAAATCTGACTTCTGCTGCTGTATGGGACAAGACATGCCAAAGCACACCACAGTGATATTCCCTTTCCTATTGAGCTCTAAGATGACTGCAGGTAGCAGGGTGCTTATGGGCACAAGGAGATCTCAGAAATAAACACCTGAAATCCACAGGAATGAGGCTAAACCATGCAATGGCACAGACAGCAGACAGGTGCCCTATGCCAACCAACAGGAATAAGGAACAAAAATCTCCTGACAAATCTTTTCTTACTTCTCACTGTTTTCAATTTCCGTCTTAAAACAAAAGGATTATTCCTTACTATAGCTAATGAGAACAGGAACAGATGCAGTAGACAAGATATATTGTACAAGAGATATTAATCTTTCTGCTTCAAAGCACAAGCCCAACACTAATTGATGGAATTAGTAAACAACAAATTCCCCTGAAGACAACTTATTGTGTAGTCACTCATTATGGACAATTTTCTTCCCTCTCCTGAAGCAGGTGATGCAGTACCAGCAAAGCCAGGATCCTAGCTTAGAGGAGTGCCTGTTGTGATCCAATATTATGATTTATGTGCTATACATAGCAGGTGATCCAGCACAAAGAGAGACACAGGAGCACACACAGCAGGGGAGTTAGCTCCTTTAAACCAGAAAGATCTATGAGCAGACATGTTCAAAACTGTGTGCCAGAACCTATTTTTAGGCTGTTATCTGAAAAAGAACCCCAAACCCAAACCCCCTAAAACTCTATCCACATGTGCTTCACTTTAGGCTTATTAGGGACAACTTGTTAGATGAGACTGAGCATACAGATGTATGACTCTAGAAACAAAGAGATGTTTTGCTTCACGAAGATCTGAGACTAAAATTCAATCCACTGCTTAGCATTTCTATTAAAAGACACTAACAGTAACAGAAAGATCTTCAGGTATTTTTAGATGTTTTCCCATCCCTCACAGCTTATCAAGAACAGTCAACTTATATTTAAAAGCAGATAAACTTTTATTCACCATATCTGGTCCCTTCACAATCAAATTTGTGCTTTTAATGGGATTACTCATTTGAAACTGTCTCCCTATAATAAACCAGACCAGATTCATTAAGGTAGCTGTCAGACAGCAGATGTGAGCACAACAAAATAAAACTCTGCTCCTCAGTTGGGCCTGCACTGTGCTCTCTCTCACCACGCAGAGATGCTACAGGTGATCACAACAGCTCAAAATGCACAGAACAGAGCAGGGAGAGAGGAATGCCTAACTCACTGCAATAGATGGAAACTCTTCTACACAGCTGAAAGTTAGAGGGAAGGTATTTCTCATTCTCCCCTTTTGCTCATGCTCTGGTCTTTTCATGCTGAATTTTGCAATTACAGTGACTGGCACTTCATGAAATTGTCTTCTGGAGTTGCAAAGTAATTTTGCTTATGCACCTGAGATACAGAAGGAAGGTGGATAAATGAAATGCGGAAGACTTACATTTCTTTTATTTCACACCATTAAGCTTAAAATTTACTGGTGAAAAAGACAACATTGCCCCTTGGATCAAACTCATTGATCAGCTGCTTGACTTTAATATAAAATCTATACCTAGAGTATGAAGCCATTAATACAAATCCTGGCAAGGCTCAACTGTCCCTTCTCTCTTTTAAGGTAGCTCATTTGGAATTTGCACAATTTATGTGTGTCTTCCATCAAGATCTTCAGGAGTGCTGCTTGCTCTGTTATTCAGGCTTGTCACATTTTGTGGGCACAGGGACATCCACTCTCATTTACAACAACTCAGTGTGTGATGGATTATACAGGAGTGTCCTTCACAGCGGTGTGTGCATTTACTGCAATTTTAACCTCTGATTAGAGTATGCAAGAGTGGCTCCACCTAAAGCTGTGCAAGTCCAGCAGGGATTCACACAGTAACATGGGAACTGCCATACAAGATAAAAACCAGTGGTCCATCAAGACCCTGACCCCATCTAGCACTGACCACTGCCAGATGTTTCTGAAGGAAGCACATAACACCACTAATTTAGCTCACAGCTAAATTTGGTTTTTAACCTGAGACAGTCAAGAAAAT